TATTCACTCAGATCTTATGAAGTCTAAAAATAATTAATCTAGTGAAGATTTAAATAGTATTTATAATTTTATATTCAACAAACAACAACAAAACAAACAATAATTTTTATTCAATATTGAAATGATCAAAAAGGGTATGAAGCCATAAATTTAATGAAAGGGGGGTTCAAACTCACAAATATATACTTACATAAGTACATACATATGTATGTACATATTCTGTATGCAACCATTTTGAGTTTCTAAGCTGACCGATACAGTCATCGAGCTTACGAAGCGTTAAGATTCTATTGCGCAATTCGGAGCTGAGTGAAATCCACTTTTAGTAGGTATATAATGATGTTCATGCTGTCGTCTGATTTATATACGCAGTTATGTATTATGCAAATAAACACATTAGTTCAAAATTTCGTTCGACTGTGCAATTTGGTTGAACAAACTACATTTACCCCTTTCTTCTAGATTGCACCACGCTTTTATTCCCACTTATGAAGGTTGTCCATCAGGTTTAAGAAAACTCGAACGTTTGTTGAATTTCGGTTCTTTCTAACATCTAAGTATTAAGCACATGCCGTTTATTTTGCTGATTTTTGAAAAAAAACTTCTTAATTATGACTTTTCATTAACCTCTCTCTGAACAGAGTATGAAGTCTCAATTAAAGCTTTCTATCGTACAAAGTGCAAGAAATGGTTCATTGGGTAGATTTGCAAGCACTATAAATGTCGGTATGTATTTATTTCATCTATATATTTGTATATTTTAGCTGCTTTTGTGCGGATAAATTAAGATTAATGCAAATAGAGCTGGTTTAATGCATGTAAAGGGTGAGTCGAGACGAGAATATTTCTTATATCTAGTGTTTTATATTTTATCTCCAGTAGACGCTAACTTTTCTTAAGGAACTCATTTAATAAAATAGGTGTAAGGAAATAATCATTGTTGTCCACTGTATATCGACTGTTGCAAAGCCTTACAGAGCGAAGAATCGAACAAACAACTGACACAGCTATCTTTTCGGTTATACTGAGTTTAACTGAATGACTTTGTTGTTGTACACTTTTTGACAACCGAGCAGAGAGTTGGAGAATCAAAGACAGCTATTGACATTGAGATATTTTATTATAATTGTGAAGTCCCTATTGATACAGCCTATACAATGAGATGATGAATGAATATACTTATAATATTAATGGTGCATTGATTTATGTATGTACATATGTATATTATAAAATGTTTATCCATAAATACAAAGTGACTTTTATGCGCAAGCAAGTTGAACTAAATCGAAAATACAGTCAAGGAATTAAAATTGTAGCAACTTTATATAATAGTAATGATGGAAAGGAATTGTTTAACGTAATATAACTAAAAAGCGGGGTAAATTATTTTATATTTTTAAGGAAAAAGTTTTGAAAACTAAGAAAATTGTTTGAACTTCAAGTTAATCGTTTGCCACTAAAGAGTTATAACTCACAATTATAGTATGAAATTATATGAAACAGATCTAATTTCAGTTAGACAACTTTAAAATATAGCATCGTCCAAATGAAAAGTAAGAAAAAACAAATAAAAAAGCCAATTAATAGGTCGGTTAATATGGCAACTATATGCTATAGTGATCCGATCAGTTCGGAAATTGTAGTGTTGCCTTGGACAATCATATATACCAAATTTTGTGAAGATATATCGTCAAATAAAAAAGTTTTTTCAACCGTTCAATTTGTATGGCAGCTTTGTGCTATAGTGGAAGGGCCGCCAAATCCGCCTATATAAACTAATCCCTCTGATTATTGCAATAAAGTATCGAATGGCTTTATTTAATTTTCTCCTTCTACTTACAAACAACTAATATCAGTTACGTAATTACTTTGCGCTTACAAAAGCCATACAAATATTACACATGCGCCTGTAGTATAGGCCTCACTGTATATTATATTCAAATATCATTATAAAATCAAATGCAAATGTGCTAATCAAAGTGCTTTCTCTGTTTAAGTATTGATTTTGAATATGTTTTCCATACAATTGCATGAGATATTTACAGAACTCAAGCACATTAAAGTTTCGACAGGCTATTACCAGTGTTTAGCAGATAAGCTCGCGCCATAGATGAATTTATACCTATATGTATATAGTAGGTATATAACGATGTATATATTATATTTATAAAAGTAAATGAATATCACACCCATACCAGTTTAATATGCATTCATGTAAATTAATTATCAATTATGTAAGTGGGTGAGTAAATGAGTGCCAGAGTGCCAGTGTGCTCATGTGACGTTTATATTTAGAACGTATCAAATTCTAATATATATTTTAGACCTATTTATAGCACAAAGTTGTTTACAATTTTTCCGCTTTTTACAGCAGCTAATATACATACATATGTATTTTAAAAGTATTGCCTGGTTAATTATGGTCATGTTAAACTGACTTTTGTACCTCAATGTTTATTAATGAATGTATGTACATAAGTATGTATGTATATGAGAATAGAAATTTAAATAAACACAAATATAAACGCATAATTAGTAGAAATAAACGGAGTTGTGAAATGTAAACGTAATATCTGAACTGAATAGCTGAAAATTATTATATATTTCTATGGAAAGTTTTATTTCGTAAAAAAATAAGCAGAAGAAGCAATAAATTAAATAATGCGTAATAAAAATTATGTAAACTAGTAACAATGAATATTGTATTTGTGAGCAAAATTAAAGTTATTTAATTATTAATTTTATGAAACTTTTAAAACACGAAATTCATGAAATAATTTAAATATTTTAAAAATATATTTTTTTATATACATATATTAAGAATTTCATACGAAAGCTTAGTTGATTTTTCATATGAGCTTACTTTGTAAAATTTTTTTAATTTCTTTTGACTCTACTTCTGTTGTCAGATATATTCTAGAAGCTTTACGATACGAAGCATATCTGAACATTATTAAAATATTCTTTTCTCAGTGTTGTCACATGCGTAAAAATTTTAATTGTGGAAGTTTCTGTAACAATCTTACAAAATTTATTATAACATTTTCAAAATTATACATTTACCGTTTTTTCATTTTGGCAAGGAATTTATGGTAATTGAACAAATTCGACATTAATATGGATTTCTGTAAATAATTCCGGTTTTTCATTTGATAACTTCTTACTTAGTTAATATATAGTAATTTTACTCGCTTTGAGCGCTTTGAGCGAACATAATTTCTCTTCACAATCTACTACTCTCTCTGGGTGATTTTTTCTAATGGCGTAAACAAATTCACACGACTTGTATAAAAATCTGGCAACTTTTAACGATATTTCCAAAATAACCAAAGTTAAGAATATTAAAATATCCTTACAAGTTATTGTTATTGTAAATTTATTTCTAATACATAATAATCAAAAATCACGGATTTCAATATTAATCGTTTAATTACAATACAAATTATTACTGTTTCTCGACTCTTCGGAAGTTGCAAGATTTTACCAGAATTTATTAGATGAGCGAGCAGACACTATATTCTGACGGATAAGAAAACAAACAGGAATATATAGCCTTCTCTCTCAACAGAAGTTGCAAGATTTTACCACAAAATCGTTCCTTTTTTCTCAATTAGAAGTTGCAAGATTTTGTCAAAAAAAAATTTCGGAAAATTCTGTTATAGCTAGGCAAACCATCAGCTGCAGTGCACTGGTGTTTATTTCAAATTTTGTTGATTCTCTACCATTTGAAAATTTTATTTAATGTCAGTAATCGCCGCTTTATTAATACAGTTTTTGAATTTTGAAAATAAGCAAAAATGTAAGCAAACTATTAGAGCAAATAGCGACACATTTTTACAGTTTTTTTAAACATGTTATTGTACTTTTTGCTGTTATACTCCCGATCTGAACGAATTTTTGTCTTTTGACAGTTCTACTAGTTTTTAACAGTACATGCAGAAATCTACTTTTAGTGCAATTAACGGCATACTAGTAATGTTCTGTGAGAGACAACCACCCTTTGTAAACAAAAAACTTTCAAGCAGTACTATTTTTATTTTTTGCCAATAATTCAAGCTAAGTATATCGTGAAATGGTTTCATAAAAATTGTAACGTGACAAAATGAGCTATTAACAGCCAATAATGTCGGTAAAAAAAAACTGTCGAGCAGCTACTTACATATTTCTCAGACATGCTCAATATGTTTCTAATATTTGTTAGACTCACTGAGCGTCATGATTTCAATAACGGCGTTAGAGCTCGAAATGGGTTAGGTCAGGATCAAATACTTGTTTTGGTAGGTCAAGATCACTTATAAAAGTATATATGAATATACTAAAATACGATTTCATGTATTTATTTAAATTTAATGCAATGATTTGAGGTGCATCAGTCAAATTTAAATGAACGTCAAGCAACTGTCATTATTACGCATCTACAAATCAATCCAAAATAAAATATAAGAAATCAAAAAATATATCTTAAGTGAGTAGGTTGTGCTGATAATAAAAGATAATGAAGATTATAGGAAAAATTGAATAATTACTTTGTCTGCAATAACAAGAACAATAAAAACCATGTGGTTATACGACAAATTGCACGAAATCATTTGTTAAATATGTGCCTATGCTTTTATATATGTGTATGTTTGTAGGTTGGTATGTATGTATGAATGCATACAGCTATATTTTATATACAGACATTCGTAGTATGTAAGTAGGTGTATATATTTATTAGCTGCAAAAACAACAAATTATCTGTTTTCATCTCTCTTCTGCTACAACGCTCTCACTCAATTCTCTCGCACGTTTTCAACGACATAAAAAGAGGTAAATAAATTCAACAATTCACCACACTTAAAGCCACATGCATGTATGACATATTGTATGTAAATATTCGTACAACAATACACATAATGTGAACAGACATATACATATCTACACACAAATATTGTTGTAGTTGGTGAGTGGGGCCAAATGTTTTTGGGGGGAGTCAAGCGCCAATGTTGATAAGAGAACCAATTGACACCATAGGTAATCTCGCGCTATGTCGTGGCACACAGCTGGGAGCGCCAGCGAGCGCGAGCGAACGCCTCAAACCGGCTTTAAATAAACGCATGCAGTGCTGCAGACTGGTATTCGCCTTTTAGGTCTCTTGCAGAGCAGAAGTGAATTTGAATTTAGCGCAACTAAGTGATTTATTTTGCGAAAATTTACGAGAAATAAGGAGAATTTTACAAGTATTTTTCTGAAATAAATTTGAGATTTATCAAGGAAAATATAAAATTTAATTTCAAATAGATTTTTTGGGGTTAAACAAAGTATTTGTACCAAATTTCAACTAACCCACTGCAAACCAAACACAACCAAAGTGCATTTTAGTGTGTCTAGAGTTTTTTGTCATACAAAAACAAAAATAAATACTAGCGAATTAGAAATCATACTTTGGCTAATAGTTAGCTAAAACCAATAGGCGCCAGAAAAAGTGCGTGAGACACGCAACGAACTGCAATTTGTACAAAAAAAAACAACACAAAATCAAGTGAAAATTTTGTAGAAAATTTTTTTAATTGCAAAACATAAAAAACAAGTAGTGAAAGTCACAAAAGCTAAAAGCTTGCACTGAAAACACACAACAAAGCAAATTAGCGAGCATTTGAAAAGCAAAATTTGTTTTTGTGCACAATTTGCATTCTACGTGCATTTGACGAGCCAAATCGTTACATTGGGTGCAGCAAATTGTTGTTTACGCTTAGCCAATCACACGGCAGTCAGCACTGACCACAGAATCGGTTCCATATTCGCCAACAAGCAAACGCATCAAGGTGCCCGGAACGGTGACAGCGACAGCAGCAGCCAAGCAGCGGACGACAATAAAAGCCTTAAAATGACAAGTGCAACAGCAACAAATATAAATCGCTCGCACAGTTTTGTGAACGCGCTCAAGTGGTGGCCACTGCAGGGTCACAACCAGCAGTCCAATCATGCAGCGCATGGTGGTGGCGGTGGTGTGGGCGCGGGTGGCGGCGGTGGTGGCTGTGTCAGCGCTGGCCCCAGCACCGCCAGTGGCTTGAGTCTGTTGGGGCATTTACACAGCAAGACGGCGACTTTCGGCAGCTCAGTGGCAGTGCAAAAGCTGCGCGAATCCAAGTGGTTCAAACGTGATGAGCAGCGCATTTTCTGTGCCGTTGTCGAGTGCGGCTTCATCGTGGAGTTGCGCAGCAATACGAAAACCACCACCAACCACAATAAGCGTACGATGCGTAGCAATAGCAGCGGCAGCGGTGGCAGCGGCGTTGATGAGTACGAATTGGATCTCAATAATGACGAGGAGGATGAGGAGGAGGAGACGCTGCAGTTGGCAATGCGGGCGCAGGATGAAAACGAAACACCGATGACGTCATGGTTCGGCATTGTCCTGTGCAAAACGGCTAAAGGTGAGTAAACGAACGGCATGAAGGACAATAGCTGTGCCCACATATACCTACATAGATACATACATATTTATGTATAGAGTAGATATAAAGTGGGTTTGTTAGGTATTTATGTGCAACAACATTGTATATTTGTATGTGCTTGCGAAGATAGCGAGGCTTTGTTGACGATTTTGGGGCGTTGGGTGGCTCAAAAGTGAGGCTCCTCGTGTTTGCTGTGCTGTGCTGTATACAGCACTGAATGTGTATGCTTGTACATTTTTAGGTCAGATTAAATGCAGGGCCAATGTACAGCAAGTGCTCACATATGTACAAACACACATACACATATATTTATATGAACTATATTTATTTATGTGCATATGTAATTAAACGGCTTGCTAAGCTTGTGTTGTAAACAGTAAAAGATAATTTAAGTGGAATGCATTGTTTTAAATGATACATACAATACAAATGTATATACTAAACAAATTATATTATTTCAAAGTGCAGATATAATCCTTTTTTCCGCATATTGTGGGCAAGTTTGGTGTGCCAAAATGTAGATTTCTATTTAAGCTTAATTGTACTCTGAACATAAAGTATCTGAAATATTGCATACGTCCCTTTCAGCCCAAGTAGCTGCTCATTTGTCAGAACCGCCGATATCGGTCCACAATAACATATACCTGCCATACAAACTGACCGATCAGAATCAAGTACTTGTATGGACAAGTTTTGGTATTTGACATGATATCTTCACGAAACTTGGCATAGACTTTTATCCAAGGCAAGGCTACAAAACATATTATTCATATCGGACCACTATATCATATATGTACATAGCTGCCATACAAACTGACCGATCAAAATTAAGCCCTTTTATGCGAAACGTCTTTATATGGAGAATTATCTTCACAAAATTAACCTTTTTTCTTTTTTTTTACTAAAAATAATAAATTTTTATTTCTTTTTGTTTTACTAACATATATAAAATATATATTTTATACTAAAACGCATATTTTATACACTCATCCTATGACGCTTGCACTTAAATTTTAGCTATATACATACATACATATGTACTTTGTATAGACTATAACATTTAATTACATAATTTATGCTGCATTCATACATACCCATATAACTATTGTATATGTACATATGTACTATATTAAATAGTTATACATACAAACATATGCGCACGCGACAAAATTATTTACGTGAAACTGATAATATTTATTTTATTTATCGCAAAATCACGTGTGTTAGTCAAAAGAAAAGAAAAGTGTGCTGTGAAGCTGGGCAAGTTCATTTGTTTACATACATGCATATATGTACATATGTACATATACTTGTATGTACATAAATTACCAATTTAAAAGTCAAAAGTATCATTTTGTGCCAAAATTACCATTTAAACCAATTAAAAAAGTTTTCTACTTAAGAAATTTCAATTGTAAAATATGTTATTCCCTTTTTAAAAAAAAAAATGAATTTGTAGCTAAATTGTGCTAATTAGTCGAATAGGCCTCGTTGCGCGCGTCATTTCTTGAGCCGTTAGGCGAGTCAATGATACGCTCGAAATTTTCAACGCTCAAAGCTCGTCAATTACAACACGGGCACACGTTTAATTTAGACGATTTACGATTTTTACGAAATGCCTCAAATTGTTGTAGATTTTTGCCATTAGAATTAATTTTATTTTGCAAATAATTTGAAAAAATATTACAAATGTGAATGCATTTGTATAATCAATGGCAACACGTGGCTGTAAATATATAATTCGCGCAAGATGGCATTAGTAGTATGCTAAACTAATTGTCAGACACTTTCTAAAGCACGCAAAGAAAAGTGCTAATTGTTGTTTTTGTTGTAAGGAAAGTAAAACCGATTGTCTACTACTGATTTTCTATAGTTTATATTTAAATTAATATTTGCTTTATTATTGAACTACTGAATAGTGTCACATAGTTACTGTTTTGTTGTCATTAGTGAATATTTGCACAAGTACAGTGGTGTATGGTAGTATTGGTTTAAAGCAGTAACAAACAATTAAATTTTTAAAAAAGCCCAAAAATATTTAATTTTTTAAGTCAAAAAAATTATTTTATTATTAATTTTCAAAAGAGGGGAAAAAATATTTTTTTAAATTTGAAATGTTTTAGAAAATGCATAAAAATTATAATTTAATTTTTTTTTTCAATTTTCAAATCGAATTTTAATAACTTTATATAGTTCTTTTAAATTAATTTGCGATAGTGAAAAATTTCTCTGGAATTAATTTTATTTTGCAACTAACAGATCATACTATATATAGCTGGTTGCTACTGTTGTTCCGTCCGCCCAAAATATGAGATTAATAAGTATTTATAGCCAATTCAATCACACTAAATTTATAAAACTTTAATCCTTTAATAACTCATACAGTTATAAAATTATGAATCAAATCTTAAAAAGGTAGCAAAACCGCAAAACTGAAACTAAAAAAAGTAAACCAATAAATATGTGTGTATGTATAATAAGTATGTATAAGTCATACGCGTTTATTCCGTGAGACGTCATTTGAATTGCTTGAACTAAGCAATTACACACACTTGCTTTGTCTAATATAATCTAATCTAATCACCTGTTAAATAAGCAATAAAAGTTCTCAATGGAAAAAAATCGTATTTCATGCAAAAACAAAAAATTCTGCAATTTCATTATGATTTTTGAAATACAATACGCCGCCGACTAAACATTTGCGCCAACGAAGAGCAAAACAAAATAAGAAACGGGGCCGAATAGCGTTTGCGTTCACTGTTTCATACCACAATTGGTAAGAAATAAATAAATACTTGTAAACGAAGAATGAAACGCAAGAGCAAAGCTGCAGCAAGCGACGCGAATCTTCTAGAAACACCGAAGCACTCATGGGTTGTGAACGATGTGCTGCCTGGCACATATCACACGCAGCCTAATTTCGAGTGTTGACATAAACCGTGTGAAATCACTTGAAAACGTCAAAAATTTAAATGGAGAGCGCAAAGAGCGTAAATATAAGCCAATAATCAAATAATTAAAACAAAAATAACAAAATGTTATAGCATTTCATTAATTAATGCCTGTTGGAACGCGCTAAAACTAGTTTCTAATCTAAGTATATACAGACAACTCTAGAGTCTAGTCTAGCTAATTGGTATAGTTTCTAACGGTTATTTGCTATTATTAGCCAATTAAAAGGGCGTGAAGTAGGCCTAGAAATGATACGACGCATTCTTCGTCGCATTCCTCGGCTACAAGCCGTAATTTGTCCAGTTACGCTACGAGGCACAGGCGGCTTAGATATTTCAAAATATACATATAAAACATATGTACATACATGTGTTGTACATAGATATGTAAGTATGATATCTATAAAGTAAGACCAACAGATATAATTTGCGCTGAAAATGTAAAGCGGAAAACACATTGGCTTGGGAGCCAGCGCTTATGGGCGCTCCGTCGATCGTTCAGTTCATGATTTCCCACATTTACCCAGTGTGGCGCCTTATTTACAAGTTTTATGTTTTTACATTAACATTTTATTACTTGTTTTTAGTTGCTTTTGCCATACTTCTTTTGTATTTGACGGCGCTCAGCAGTGAAGAGCATGTCGTTCACTCTTAAATTGCAACTCACCACACTTGGGGGGCTCTTATCACGAGGCACGTAGGCAAATAAGTGCATATGTTTGGAAATGTGTATATGTTTGAATACAGCGCTTTATTACTGATTGCCACATCTTCGGTTCAATGGTAAAATAAATTCTTGAATCGGGTAGGTCCTGGGAGTTGTCTCAGTTGAGTGGAGCACAAAGGTGCAATAGTATATAGACTTATGTATGTATGTACATATGTTTGTATTCAAACCGTATGCACTGAACTACTTCTGTATAAGTATGTATATAATTCTGTATATGTATGTACGTATATATGTATATATATCGATATGTCTGTATGAGTAGTTGCGCATATGCTTTTGTCGATACATACATATATAAGTAGTCGCGTGCTTTACATCTATCGCAACTTTTAAGCACTTGAGTAAGTCGTCTTATTTGCAATATAGATAGGCAGGCAGTTGTTGTTGTACACGCAAACGCGGTAAGCGATAAATTAATTTTAAAGTATTAAACGCTTTCATATGTTTGCACTGCACTTAGCCACGTCCGTAGGCGAGGCGATATTGCAAGTGCCTAGCACAAGTTAATTTTTATCTTTTCACATAAAAAAAAAAAATTCTAGAAAATTTAAATATTTTCAAAAATCTAAAACCCCATAAAAATTGTTTTAGCACATTTTTTTCAATAAAACATATACCACTTTACCACTTATTTCAATGAAAACAAAACTTAATGCTATGTCTTTACAACCCTTTTATGCCACAGCGCTGTAATGGAAGGCAACATTTGTGCTGCTCGGATTTTTTGTTATACACAATTTTTGTGTGTGGAGAAGTTTTCTGCACATTTAAATTAGAATAAACAAAATAACAGTAAATTAGAATAAAACGTTTATTTTTTTCTCAACTAAGGAGAGTTTTTAGTAACTAATAAAAAACGAAATAAATTAATATAATATAAATACAAACAATAACAACAGAATAATATAAAATAATATAATAATAAAGTAATAATAAAAAAATTTAATGCGCTTTAACTACAAATGAACTGAACTATCTATCATATCCCCATTTTTAACAGCTAATATAATATACTTCTTATAATTAACATTTACGAGTTTATTAGATTTTGATGAGAAGCAAAAAATTTTAGAGATTTTTTTTTGCATTTTTTTAAATAATAAAAAAAAAATTTAACAAATTCTAAAAACTTAAATATGAGTAAAATAAATGCAATTTGGTTAAATCAAAGGGAAGGGGGGGTTAAATAAATATATATTTTTCTATGTTTTATCTCTTATTTTTCTTCCACTTTTTACGAAGATTATAAAAAAATTGTTCACGTTACAATGTCTATTGATGAGGTATAAAAATTAAATTAAACATAAATATTTAAGAAATTGTTGTAAATCATTACAAATAACAGTTTTTAAAAAGAAAATTTTTATTATAATTAACTCAGGGGTCTCTAAATAATTTGATAATAAATTATGTACAAAACAAAAAAACAACAAATAAAAAACATAAAAAAAATGAACAAAACGAAATAAAAAAAATAAAATAAAAATATATAAAAAAAAATTAAATAAAAATATAAAAAAAAAATATATATAAAAAAAAATAAAAATATAAAATATATATATAAAAAAAAATATATTAAAAATAAAAATATAAAAAATATATAAATAAAAAAATATATTAAAAAAATTATTGAAAATTAATTTTATTAATTATTAATTAATTAAAAAAAAAATTATTTATTTTAATATATTAATTATAAAAATATATTTTTATATTAAAAAAAAATTAATTTATTAAAAAAAAAATTAATTTTCAATAATTAAATTTCAATTAATTTTTTAAACAAAGATTAAAAAAATAACAAGAAAATAACAAAAGTATACCCTTCACAAATAAACAAATTTTCCTACAAGAACTTGATTTTGATCGTTCCGCTTGTATGACAGCCATATGTCATAGTGGTCGAGAATACCGGTGGTTCCGATAAATGAGCAGCTTCTTGGGAAGAAAAGGAATTTCAAAGCAAGATTTTATCTCAAAAACTAAGGGTCTAATTTTTAATATACACTGCTTAGGGTATAATAAAGTATTTGCCATTAATGTTCTTAGTATGAAACATTCTTTCTAAATTCCTATACACTTCTTATCAACTTTGTTTATACAAAATACTTTTTATCTACAGCTAATTAAAAGACAAATTATTAATAGTTTCAGATTAATAGTTAAGAACGACCACTACGTAGTACTTGTATTTCAATTGCAGGCCATCTAATCAAATTAATTATTTGAAAACTACACTTACATAGTTATACTTTGATTGAAGTTAGATAGCTTTATATATGTATAGATTAAATATATACATATATACCTCATCATATTCAGTACGATATGGTTTTCATACTACAACAAATTAGTTTAATTTAACAACACACAATGTATTTAAAATAAGAATTCTCGGTTCTTATCAGCAATTTATAATTATACGCGAAGAAAATATGCTATCTCCTCAATAGGGTAAAAAATATGTAACAATAAAATTGCATAACTCAAAAGAACAAATAGCAAATGTCTTACAAAACTCGCTTAGCATATGCGACTTTAATTACAAACACAAAAAGTGCACATGTCGAAACTCGTGTTTTCGAAAAATAACGGTTACTACACACATACAAACATTTGTATATATTTTTATTGTATGCTTTGCATTCTTCAGTTATCATTTGAATTTTTACAAGTCTTTTAGCAATTGCAATAATTGTTAAGTGGAATTACTAAGAAATAGCGATCAACAGGCAATAATGAAAGAATGAAATTTTCCACAAAACAGACAATTAGGAAGCAGCTGCGACTTTCAGGCTAAAATTGCTAATACAATTAGAAACTTTTTGTGTTAGAATTTCATTGATAGCTTTGGAATATTGTCAGCATGTGATGAAATGCGTTGGGCGAAGTGAGTAATTATGTAAAAGAAATACATTCGCAAAAAAAAGTTTACATTGTACAGAATTTTTTTAATGAAAAATATGAATTTCCAACAGCTTCCAAACCAAATTCCATTTAAGTCGTGTTTCATCGATATTTTCATACAAAATAATAAATTTTGAGGCTATAATATATTTTTAAAAACATTAAATTACAGAAAAATCGTTAAATAATTGGAGGTTATGTAGAAAAATAAAAGCTAGAAATGTTAGAAATCGCAGCCTTCAGACATAAACACACATACAAGATGCATATCCATATACGTATGTGTGTGTATGTACATGGCGCACAGAGCGTCGTTGATGAGTTAATAAATTATGACCGCTAAATTACCGTTACACTGATAAACCCCTATTTATTAACCTTGTACGTCGTTCACCCAGATTTTATTGAACTATTGCGGTATTTATGGAATAGTTGATTAGTGGACAAAGACAATTGCTGATTCAAAAAAAAAAAAAAAACTATATTAAAATATTTATGTACACACATAAGTCTTGACATATAGCGACACGTCACGTACACCTTAAACAGAACCCTGTTACATACATACACACAGTCACTTCAACTAATTGTTTTTTAGAATGGGAAAGAGATTAAATTGCTTGTTAATGAAATTTATAGGATTTATTTGTTTACTTTAGAACCGATTGTAGTTTGTGGTTGGAATGCGCATTTCAGGGCTATTTTTAGCTCGGCTATTTTCTTGTAACTGATAAGGCTTATTTACTATTTAAAAATCAATTAACAACATACAAATTGTGATTTGTAAAAAAAATTAATTTTATTTAAAAAAAACTGAAATTAAATTAAAAAATTAAAGTAAATTTAAAAAAAAAAAAATCTAAACTAAAATAAAAAAAAAAAATTAATTAATAAAAAACAAACATAAAAAAAATAAATAAATAAAAAACAAACATAAAAAAATAAATAAATAAATAGAAAAATAAAAATAAAATAATTACAAATAAAGTAAAAATTAAATGGAATCTAAAACTAAAAAAAAAAAATAATTTAAAAAAACAAATAAAAAGAATTTTAAAATTAAATTAAATGAAACAAAATAAATAAATAAAATGAAATTAAAAAAAAAATGGAATTAAAAAAAATAAAATGAATTTAAACAAAACTAAATTTAAAAAAAAAAAATTAAATTAAATTAAAAAATATAATAAAATAAAATATAAAAAAAAATTTAAATAAAATAAAAATAACAAATTTTAGATGAAATAAAAACATTAATTTATTGTAATTAAATTAAATAAAAACACATACATAAAATTAAAATGATTTAAAATATATAAATAAATTTACAAAATGTTATAAATATTTTATAAAAATTAATAAAAAAATATGGAATATAATATAAAAATATGTATCCAAAAATTGTATATACAAGTATATTAAAAATTTTTTTTTTAATATTGAAAATCCTAAAATTAATAATACTCTTGATTTCAACAGAATTTATAAAAAGCGACACTAAATCTATCAACAAATAAACATGTATACATTTATACAGCTTCAGCTTTATTTAGACATAACAGCATTTAACCAAATAACAGTTAGAAGTATCTTGGCACAATGAACTTGAGAATGCATTTTTGAAGCGCAAAATACACATGCGTTTGAGCTTGATTTATAGCACTTCTTTTGCTCTGGAATTTTACCCCGAAATAAATTTATAAATCTTATGTGCTTAAAAATAACTCAATTATTTGCATGCCATATGTACATATGTATGGTATGTGTATATTACACAGCATATTAAAAATTTTGAGCAACAATAATAAATCTAACTTTGCTTCTCGCTCTTCTTGCAGACAATAAACCCAAACCTGAGACGATTGAAATCTACACTGTGAAAATACGTGAAAGCGGTACATTCAAAATGCTCAAACTCACGCTGGAGGATATCTGGAATCAAGGCTGGGAATTGCGCATCAATAATTTCGCCGACAAGGAGAAATCAGCACACAATGAAAAGGACATACGCAATCAGGTTGGTGGCGCACAAACACAAATTTAGCTGTACATACATACGTATATAATTATGCTACAATAAAATTATTAAAATAGTTATTTATTATAGAAAATATATGAAATAGTAAAGCATGTGGCTCATTAACATATTTTATTTTCTTCGCACACGCACAGGTGTCCTTTGCGCGCAAGGCCAAACATAGTCTCTGGAATAATAACAAGCATTTTGTGTACTGGTGTCGGTACGGCAGCCGCCAGCAGGACGTGCGAAAGCGACAGGTTGGTACAGTGACGTGCATATAACTGTACACACATAATATAATGTTATATAAATGTATGTTGTATAAAAAACATAACCACACTTTTTTATTTATGCATTGCAGATGTCCGAGTGCGTGAAGTGGGGCAGCGTTGGCATGAATGCCGGCATGATATTGCTCATGAACAAACAGAAATCCTACTCCACCTCCAAGTGAACATACACACATACACAGAACTTTTAGCGGCGTAGAAGATTTCAGCAAATCCAGTGAGGATTCACGATCTATCGATCAATCAAAGGAGAGAGATAAAGAACGAAATACTGTACTGAAGTTAGGCAAAACAAAACAAAACAAAAAAAAAAAAACACAAACCAATTGTAAGCACATGTCCAGCTGCTTATTTCATAATTGATTTCCAATAAGCGACTTACAAAATTATTTACTTTAAAATGTTATTGATAAAAAGCGTAGTTCATAAATATTGTATTATTATTGTTTAAAATGCACAGATTGGCATGTAAACTTGTTAAACCAAATGAAATGCGCTGCTCAAATCACAGAAACTTGTTTTTGCAAAAATTTGTTACAAATGTTAGTGCGCAGGCGCCGCTTAAACGTGAAATATATTAAAAAAAAAAAAAACTTACATAGAAAAAGCAAAAAAGAAAACAAGTATTATGTATGAAAAACGCAAACGAAATTGTAAAAAATTTAAAAACGCATTAATTTACTAAAAAAAAAATGTACTTCAGCGACAGACATTTCGCATAACTAGTAACGAGTTATATAAATTGCAACTTGCTAAGCAACCAAAGTATTACTAAAGGAGCGGTTGGCAACTTTAACATGTTTTTGTAAACAATTTTTCGTTATTATTATTTTATTATAAATAATTTTTATATAATATATAATTTTTATGATTTCTCATTAAGTGACGTAAGTTAAGTTGCGCGCCAATTCTGACATACAAACACACACATACACACTTGTGTACATGCGTATAACTCGCCGTTAGGAGCACGTTCTTCCTCTCGCTGATTATGATGATTGATTGCAGTGAACGGATCAGTAACCAAGCCCCAGAAGCCTCCCCCCTCCAACATAATACAAAGAACATTCACACATGCACACATGCATACACATACATACATACGGGTATGCATAATGTGTTAGTACTCAGAAGCAAAACAAATATCAATCAATAATATGGAACTATTGTAACAACAAAAACATTCATGACCTTAAAGTTGTTAAGTTGTTGTATTGTAGCTTTACTTATTGTACAACAAACTATTACTTAAGGATACATATACACACATACATAAAACATTTATATAAGTACAATACAATATATACATACAATATATATAGTTACATACATATATGTATATGTATATATAGGCATTGTGCGCTCATCTCTGCCACGACGAGTATTGTATTACAGTACCCGTTACTGACACACTGTGAATTTCTAATATGAAAAAAGACTTGATTTCTATTTATATAAGATTTAAGATTTATGTACCCAAAAAATGAAACTGTAAAACTTTAGCATTGCATGCATATGCGTATTGCCTAATATAGCGCTAAATAAACTTTAAAAGTTTATCCTTATTCGTTTTCGCTGTGGTCTATTGTGTATATGCAATTATTATATAAATTTCGTTTATTTATCTATGTACTGCAAGTATATATGTATTTGATATTTATTATCTAAGTGAAGCTGCAAAACTTATGATTATTATTATTGTTTTTATCGCTGAGAGAAGCGTTAGCGTGTAAACTAAGTTTTTGCATATGCTGAATGCATACGGATAAATCTTACAACAATGCTAGTGGAAATTGATGTGATCTGTTTTGTTTATTATAAAACATAAAAACTTTAAATTATATAATTTTTAAGAAGTTATCAATAAGCGAACACAAACACTTTACATATGTACATATGTATGTATATGGTGAATATCATGAAAATATTCAATAATATTGCTGGCGAATTCAGTGAATCGCAGTATTTACATAAATTAAATTTAATAGAAATGATATGTAAAAATATCGTATTGTATTTAGAAATTAGCACATAAGGGTTAAAGCGATAAGCCGCTCTGATATATATGAAAAGCTTATGATATTGAATTAAAAAAACGTTTTTTTTTTGCATCGAAATTTGAATAAAGGTTCGTTTTTTGACAACAAAAGTTGTAAGCGTGTATTTCTTTGTAAGAATGTGTGGAATTTTTATCACAAAAAAAGCTGTTAGCTATAATACCATTCACAAATAAAAAGTTGCCATACAAGAACTTGATTTTGATCGCTCAGTTTATATGACAGCTATATGCTAGAGTGGTCCGATCTAAAAAAAAAATTTCGGAGATTATACCGTTGCTTTGAACAATAATTTCTACAAAATTTCGTGAAAATACCGCGTCATATAATAACATTTTCCATACAAAGACTTGATCTTGATCGTATAGTTTGTATGACAGCTATATGCTAGAGTGGTGCGATATCGGCGATTCCGACAAATGAGCAGCTTCTTGAAGAGCAAAGGACATGTGCAAAATTTCAGATCGATATCTGGGAATATGGACGAAATAGTTCGCGTAACCGCGTATATATACAGAGAGACCGAAATGGCTAAATATACTTAATAGGGTCTCTAACGCTTTCTACTGGGTATTACAAACTACGTGGCTAACTTAATGTATCCTGTTTAGAGTGTAAAAACAGTGTCGAAAACAAATCCTAGCTTATATGGCATCCCTTATATCTGCAAGCTAACTTAGAAAATTAGCGAAATCGATTTAATCTAAATAATATCTCTTTATATAATGAATTTTGTCCTTTCGGGTTATCTTGTCTCATATAAACCAATTAATTATAATTTTAAGATTTTTTCGCTTACCTTACTATCATTTGGCAACAAATATGGGTAAAAACAATCGTCAAGTTCTCACCATATTTAAAAAATAAAAAATAAAAAATAGAAAAAACCAACTTCACACACACAAATTAGATTAATTCTAGACAGATTGGTTCTCGTTGCCAATAAAATTGCATCGCTTTCAAACTTATAGCTATTGAAAATAAATGGACACTTTTGAAAATTTTGGCAAGCACTTACCTCACGTAACAAACCGAAGAGCACATCCGTGGAGAGAGAACGTTCATGCGCTTCATCCATAATAATAGCAGAGTAACCATCCAAATCCGGATCACGTAAGCTTTCACGCAATAAGATACCGTCGGTCATATATTTGATAACAGTTTTCTCAGAAGTGCAATCTTCAAAACGTATAGCATAACCCACTTCATCACCTTTAAATAATAAAAATACAAACATATAATAAAATAAGTAATGCATTTGGCAATAACAAAACTAAAGTTATTGCAACTCACCCAACTTGGTGCCCATTTCGTCTGAGACACGTTTCGCCACAGACATGGCTGCAACACGACGCGGCTGCGTGCAACCTATCATGCCAAAGTTGCTATAACCGTCTTCATGCAAATACTGTGTCAATTGTGTAGTTTTGCCGCTACCCGTTTCACCCACAATAATTACAACCGAGTTTTCCCGAATTACATTCAGCAGCTCTTGGCGTACAGCAAATACGGGTAAAAATCTACGCTGCTCAGATATTGTCTTTTTGCGTGCGAAATCACTTTTACCACCAGAATCTTGGTCACGCATGTGTTCGGCGAATTTTTGATCACGTCTATAGTCTGCCGTATCTGTGTCCTTATCGAACTTTGCATCCTCCTCATCGACCTTCTTCTCGATACCCATTATGTTACCCAATTTGGTACCGCCCAACTCCCAGTGTTTCTTTTGCGCCTTTCGGCGTTCCTTTTGTTCGCGGTAAACACGTACCAAGTTGCTGCCCTTACGTGCAATTAAAGCCATGTCAGAGGTTGGATCTTTAACGGGTATAACGGGTTCGGGCTGCTTGGTGAATACGATACGTCCATCAAGGAACGGTGGAATGATATGATGCACCAACAAATGGACACGCTCTAGTGCCTCCTCATCGAAATCTTCATTTACATTTATGGACATTACTACGCCTGACGTAAGCATACGGTTGCGCTCCCATAATTCATTATCCTTGTTAATTTGGCGCTGTTGTGCGCTAATACGTTTCGTACGCTTTTGTTCAATTATTTCTTCACGTTTTCTGTAAGTAGCAAGTTATTTAGTATGAGTATATGGTACTCGTACAATATATACGTTTATAAATGCATGCATTCACTTACCTAAAGTAGTCTGCATTGGCACCTGAGAATGGATTATTTTCATCATCGTAACCTTCATCAATGTTATACCATTCACGATCTAGGCGGCGTTGCTCTTCTTCCCACATGTCTCGATCTTCTTCACTTTCACCCCATGGTTGCCGATTACTCCGTCCAGTTGCGGGTGTAGCACCAGAGCGCTTGCGGTCATTTGCCCAAACATTGTAGTTGTGGGCAGGTGTCGGTCTTGGCGTATCATCTTCTCGTTCTTGACGAGACCGACCACGAGAACTGCTAGTGCCAATGCCACTGCTACTGCTACTTCTAACAGACCAGTCGGAGCGTTCTGAACTGGCATACGACTTGGGCGTTGGAAAATCCCAAGAAGATTTTTTTGTCTGTGAAGGTCGATCATTGTCGTCGTCATCCCAGGCACTACCACTCACGGACACGTCCATAGGTGTGCGTGGCTCATCCTTAAAACGCGGTGTGTGCTCCTCGCTACGAGCCGAAAATGCATCTCCACGATTACCACGTTCTGAATTATCTCTGCTACGATCTCGACGTTCTTTGTCTCTATTTCTGTCTTTATCCTGATATCTGCCACGGTTGCGATCACGCTCATACTCTCTTGGTCTATCTCTATCGCGACGACGAACTCTATCGCGATCTCTATCACGACTTGAAGAACTTGAAGATGAACGATCTCTGTTGTTTCGTTTACTGTCGTCACTTGTGGAATAACGCATTCCTCCTTTAGTAGTGCGCTCTCTATCCCGTTTAACATGCTCACGTAAACGTTCTCGCGCCTCGTCAGACACACCACCGGTATGTGAAGGTGTCTCCACTTTTGGTTCCCTTAACTGCCTTGGTATCTTATGTAGATTATTGGTGTCAGGCTTTTTGAAAGCAAATTCATCACCAGCGGATGTAGCAGATACCCCACCTTTGTGGTCATCTTCATCATTTTCATTATCCTTAAAGGATATCAATCGTTGTGCATCATCTCGCTCTTTACGACGTTGCGCTGCTAAACGATCTAAACCTAGTATGGACGGTTTGGGCACTTTGAATTTAGTATCACCACCCTCCTCTTTTAGTTTTTTAATTACAAGTCCTCCACGAACGTTACCGGTGGAGCCTTCAAGGCGGTGCACACCGACATCGTCATCATCCATTTTCGCCAATTAGTTTAACAAGTTATAATTATTTTTCTTCACGTTAAAAAATACAAAATTATTGAGAAATTAACTCGTAAACGTTTTATCATTTTTGTTTGTGAAACAATCCGCGGTATCAGCTGTTTATGACAAGTATGGAATCTAGTTCAACAACAACGATGCATTTCTCCTCTTTAAAATTTTTAGAAATAAAACAGAAATAATAAAGAAAAATGTTAATGAGCTGAACTTCTAAAAACGACTATTTCCAAATTACATATCAGAAATAGTAGAAAGCACAATATTTTATACAAAAAGACTACAAACAAAATTTGCAAAATATCGCCTTCATATCACAGTGTATATTGGTTTACATAATTTACTATTGCCATGGCAACTCTTCTATTATATTTCAAAACATTGCAGCCTGTGTGGTAATCGTTGTTTAAAAATAGTAAATAATTCACCTGAAATCATATTGATGAAACTTTTAAGATGAGCTACGAATTTTTGGCTGGTTATCACATCCCAACAATATCTCAAGGAATACCCACAACAACGCTAGTGCCATTTTCCAATGAGGGTCAACTGCAAACTATGGAGACTGACAATCAATATCAAAATGTTAATAGATATATTCCTCCAGGTTTACAAGGTACAAACAGCGCACCGATTACGCCCCCAAAACCACTAAAACGTAAATATGATGTGGGTCCCGGCAGCAAGGACGTTGTGACAGAAACTCCAACAAATGGCCAGTTAGTCATATTTTACGGTCGGGATGTTAGCTATCCGGAAGATTTGAATAAATTGTTGCATCCGCTACATTGCACGATGTGTGGCGTACAAATGAATTCGTCAAAAAGTGCCAAAGATCATTACGAATCTAAACAACATGATCGTCATATAACAAATTGGTTAAAAATAAACTACATTGAAAAAGGACTAACAGCGCCGACAGTGAAGCGATTCATTAAGGACGGTCCATGCGGACCAGATACTTTCTATTGTGAAGTGTGTGATTTGAAATTCGGTTCTTTGGCACATGCAAGCCAACATTATGCGGGTCGCAAACATAAACTGGTCGTTAGCAAAATATCACAACCTTCCGGATCTGGTTATTATAATGCTGAAAATAAATGGATTCAAACTGGTACGAAATTTATACCAAAAACTGATAATGATAATCGCTTTGGTATAGGTGAATTATTTAAGCAACAAACCGATGAGACAACTATCAACGTTGTGTCCACTGCCGACACTACTGCTATGCAAACATCTGCGCCAGAAAACATTGTGGCTAGCTCTATCGACAAAATTTCAGTGTCCACCGGTGAAACACTCAAAGTAAAACCTTTATCCCTGCGCTGTGAAATATGTAAAATTAATGTTACGTCTGAGGTGCAGATGTCAATGCATTTAAAAGGCATAAAACACAAAAAAAAGTTGAAAACTTTATGCTTGGACGAGTCGCTTGAACAAAGTCCAGTTGTATCCAGTGCGCCAGCTGTATTGGTTAAAACCGAAGATACGATACTAGAAAGCCTTAAAAAAAGTAACCCAAGTACAGATTTCTCAATGTATCGCACACCAAGCGGCTCCTATTATTGTGAGTGCTGTAATATGTCCATGTGTCATGTAGCAGCGTTACAACAACATTTGGCGGGCAAAAAGCATATGAAAAAAATTATCGAAGTTAAAGACAAGGCTAAAACCAAAACCGATTCGAAGCTCTAAGCGGCTTTACCTAATCATTTGGTTCTGCAATATAGAAGTTTTAGGAATATACTCAGCTTAGTAATTCTACTTAGCTCTGCAGTTCTTATTATAGAAAGTGAATTGCAAAATATGTATATGCTGCTTTGCAATACTAATATTTGGAGCTCTTGATTAATGCATATTTTGATGTTAAATGTTTTATTTTCAGAAGGTAAAAACTATTGCTAACGAAATTAATAGAACACGTATGCAAATCAACAAAATCAAAATATTTATTGTAATACAACTTATGATTGTATTGAATGAAGGAGGCCGAGCTTTGCTGTCGGGCAAAAGGCAAACGTTTATCAATAGCACATAGTGCAATATTTTTACACATGTATGTATGTATACTCTTAGCATAGTAGAATTGTACGCTAACAAACATATACTAAGTGTTTACAATAATCATGTAAGTTTTGAATCGCTCTAAATTCAATAAACGGACGGGGCCCTAAAAAAATTATACCCAGATTCAAAATCATTATCGTTTGCTTTGAAATTGTGACACACGCCGTGATGAAGAGGTATTGTATAAATATATATAATGTTATATAATATAATAAATCTTTTGAAATCCCAAATACTTCTAGAAAATAACGTTTTAATAAAAAAATAGAAAATGTTGCACAGAAGCTAAAATACCCTCCACAGTTACAAAAGGCTCCATACAAGAACTTGATTTTGATTTGTCACTTTGTATGACAGCTATATGCTATAGTGGTACGATCTGAACAATTTCTTCGAAGATTATACCGTTGCCTTGGACAACAATCCACTTTGATCGCTCAGTTTGTAAGGTAGCTTTATGCTTCAGGTTCTCTGATGTTTCTGGGTGTTACAAACTTGGTGGCAAATTTAATATACCCTATTCAGGGTATAATGAAAAATGCCCGGTTATTAATCTGAAGCCGCTCCTGTTCAGATAATATAAATTCAGTTAAGAGATCCATATGTACATATGTACTTATGACTAATTTCTCCATTAAATATAAATTCGTGAATTATTGTTTGAAATATTGGTGGTCCCACTAGGATGGTTAGGTTAGAAGTACGTTATTTCAAGCATACGATAGGTGGCGCAAATGATCATTGTTCTTGAACATTCTAAGGAACATGTTTTGAAGCAACTGTACAAGCACTACTCACAGCAATGACTCACAAACGCACAGTGGTACAAAATGACCGAATATTTTCGTACCAACCACCACCACTATAGACACGTCTAACATATGTATATATACATAAATATTTTGTTAACTGAAGTCATCGTAAAAACCATTCTCAATAATGAAACATGTAGGCAGTTTTGTTTATGTACTCATAAGTATATTTTTATAATTTGTTTAATACAGTTATATGATCTAAAAATTCACTTATGTAAATTAAACCTGCCGTTCATTCGTCTGTATCTTCAACCGATTCGTTTGCATTAAAAACAAACCAAGATATGTGACCAAACTCGTAAGTTCCGCACCGCTCGCGTCTACTGCAACATATTCTACTCGGCAAGGATTTTTGAAATAATGAGAAAGGTTTTGTCTGGCTAATAATAAATGCTTTCTTTAGTTTCCATTAATAAATTAAAAGTAATTCGATACAAACTGCTTATTAAATAATCGTTAAGTTAAAGTATTAGAAAATGTAAAATTTATAAATGGATGATGTGATCCATTCTGTTGCAAGCACTCTTGAGCGGCTTTGGATTTCGTCTCGCACATGATCAACGAACTTCTTGATTCAAACTGTAATTGTGAAATGTGAGCCGATTCAATTTTGAGCAGCATATTTTGTGTTTGAGAGGGATTTTTGCTGCTCAGATAGTATTTTTCAGCATATTTTGGATGACACTTATTTTAACTTCTTATCATTTCTGCATGTATTATTAAATTGATTTTTTTTTTTGTAATATTTAAGTTTTTGTTTATTATAGATTTTCTTGGTTAATTTCAAAATTAATTTCGACCTCCCGTCTGTTGTTGATATACTTCAATGGTGTCGCCTTCCTCCATCTCCAATGATGTTGGTGTATCATTTTCATTTATTGGCTGACCATCAAAGCGAAACCGTACTACTTGCATCGACAGACCCTGCAAGCAAACAATCAAGTAATTAGTATTTCCATACTATAAGTAAATTTAAATTTCATTGACTTACCGCTCTGTCGCAATATGCATTCATAAGCTTTCTTAAAGGTGTATGCTTCTTTATTTTGAACTGAACGACGGCATTGTCTTGTCCCAACACTTTCAGATTGATGTGCTCTGTTTCTCCCTGGAAATAAGAGATAATGAAATATAAATTAGTTTTTTTCAGCTATTATATTACAAGTAGTTATTAAAAAATTATAAAGTCTGGATGCAAAATTTTGCAACTTTTAAACGATTGCTCCACTGTGCAACCATATAGAAGGGCTTGCATTTCATATTTGTGCAGTCGATCCAAAATATACCTTTTAAATCACAATTGCAAATTTAGTGGTACCACTAAGCGTTCATGTATATATTTTTTTTGATACCGCGTTGCCTGCCGTCATGATAGCACGGACGGAGAACTCTGGGCAGTCAAATGATAAAACAAAGCTAATTTAAGGTTAGGTCAAAGCCAGGTTCTTCCAGCACAAATTTAGTTAACAAATTAAGTCAGAAACAGGCTCTAGACAAGGTGTGCGTATAGACAAACAAATTTCTGATTTCGCTTTAATGTTTAATACGAGTATATTTCACAGTATAAGCGCCTAAATCCGCACATACCGCGCCATGTTGTCGGCGTCATACACATTTTTTTTCTATTTAGTTCGCACACTTTTGACAGAAGTACACTTTGTTTCTTGTATTTTGAACGATCCCAGTTATACTTTTCCACATTTTTTAGCTTCAGCAGATGCACAAACTTACCTTCTTTTCGTCAGACATATTTGATGCTTAGTTTTTTACTTAGTTGCAGTTAAATAGAGATACAAATTTGAAACCACCGATGCCGCACTTTGTTAAATTAATCGGTCCAAATTTTTTGCTTTTCCTCCTTCCTCTTAAGATCTTGATGAAGTAGTGAAAAATGCCGACCATATAACGACGTTGAAAGACCGAACAGGCGCGAACGACGCCACCAGGGTTGCTGTGTGCTACTACCATATTAAACAAATATGGCGAAGCGTGATGCCAGATGCCTTGAAGTTCGCTGAATTGCTGAATACAATAATGAAATTGTAAGTAATCTATATATTTAACGCGTTTACACAAATATAAACACCAACAAGTTTATTATATTAGTAAAATTTAAACTTTTTGCTTACAAAAGAATTTGAGTATCGTAATTGCTTATAAATTACTTTGTAATGTACAGTTATTCTAAAACATTTATAGATATTTTGGAGTATGCTATACGTTAGGATGTTTTCTTGAGTACAGCAAGCTTATGAACTTACTAGAAATATTAAATTTAGCGTGATAACTATATCAAATATAAAAAGATTTTGGTACTAAATAATTTTGACTTTAATCAGGAAAGCTACAGTTTAGGTTATTTATATGTTTATTATACGGCAACGCCAAATTAACAATTCATAGAAGGTAAATAAATACAGCCGTGTAGATACGAATGCAGGAATGTAAGAAAATAAATATCATCTGATCAAATTTGACCCAGACTGGTCCATTTAAACTACGCGCGAAAACCGAAACGATAAAAGATTTTTCCTCGATAAGTGAAACCTATTTTATGTCCGTTAAAACTTGATATTCTATGTCAATTATTACGTGTTTGACAGTTGTTTGTTTGCGACCCAGAAAGTTTGGCAATTTTTACCATGGAAAAAAGAATTGAACAACGGGCTTGCTTGAAATGTTGTGTTGCCAATGAAATCACGGCTACGGAATCATTTAAAATGTTGCAGAAGTGTTTTGGGGAGTACACTTTATCACGATCACAAGTATTTGCGTGGCACAAAGCATTCAGCGAAGGTCGTGAAGTCATCGAAAACCTGCCTCATGCGTGTCGTCCATCCACCTCTGTTAATGACAATAACGTCGATAAAGTTACAGAAACAGTGCTCGAAAATCGTCGGGTAGGCATCAGAGAGATAGCAGAGGATCTCAACATCTCTTATGGATCGGCTCAACAAATTTTGATTAATGTTTTAGGTATGAAGCGTGTTAATGATACACTCGTACCAAAAGAGATGAATCTTTTGCAAAAACGACGTAGAGTAGAGGTGGCAAGAGAGATGCTTGACAATGTAGCTGAGGACCATACATTCATTAAACGCATAGTTACTGGGGACGTGGCATGGGTTTATGAATATGACGTCGAAGCTGTCGAACAATCTACCGAAAAGAGCACCAATAATGAGCCGAAACCGAAAAAACAACGTCAAAGTCGGTCCAAAATAAAGGTGATGCTCATCGTTTTCTTTGATTACCGCGGTGTGGTTCATCATGAATTCATTCCACAGGGTCAAACGGTCAATAAGGAATACTACCTGGCCGTTTTGAGGCGTCTACATGAAGCAATTTGTCGTGAACGACCGGATTTGTGGGCGGAAAATTCATGGATTTTACACCACGATAATACGCCGTTACATTCTAACATAACGGTGCTCGACTTTTTGGCCAAACACGAAACGAGAGTCATCGCTCAGCCACCGTATTCGCCAGATTTGGCTCCCTTCGACTTTTTTCTGTTTTCGAAACTGAAAAATATGCTACGGGGAACGCGTCATGAGTCCATTGAAGCCATCCAAAGTCATTCGCTGAAGGCACTGATGGCCATCCCAGACAAGTCTTATAACAAGTGTATGGAAAATTGGATTAAGCGTTGGCATGCTTGTATTGGTGCAAAAGGAGAGTATTTTCAAGGCGATAATAAAGATTTGTATTAAAATACGTAAAATGGTTGTTTTTTAAAAGTCCGGCTTAAATTTGATCAGATGTTATTAACCCTTAACGTACCAGCAGTTTTAATGAGGCTTGTGTATAAAAAAAATTATATAAATTATATATTATATAAAAAGCAAGAATATTTATGCTTTATCCAATGTGTTGAAAATATTAATTAATATAATTTATATAATTTTTTATTTACACTGGTCGATTTGGTATGTTTCGCATTCATTTCAAGTATTCAGGCATAACCTAAAGTACCTTTTTTGCAATATTTGCAGCAGATGGTTGTTCAGAATGCCAAACCGTCATATCTGCGGGGTACTCGAGCATATGCTCGTATACTTGGAAATATATGTACCAACAAAATGTATACTAACCTGCATACAAACACACAGATATGTAGCTCAATACATAATTAGGGTTTTTACGCATGTGGGTAGATTTGTTGTAAGTTGTAATGGTAATTTTTGAACCGAATGCTTTCGCTACCTATGTACATAAATATGTGTATGTATGTATTTAACTTGTGAAAAATTGTACAGTACCGTTCCGCAATTTACCGAATAATTAAAAATGCAAATAACAGTTGTAATTAAATAACTCAATCCTTTATTTTTATTACTTGTTACTTATATGGATCAGATCATACATATGTATATATAATTATATGCTCATATATAATATATAGTTTTTATTTTTATTCATTTTTGTTTTATGTTATTTTATATTATTTTTTTTTTTTGTATTTTTATTTTATGTTGAGAAATCTGAATACAATTACATTTACGAAATTCTTAAGTGTTGCATTCAATGTTTTATTTATATAAGTATTTTAATTTCTTTTGTTTTTCACATTGTTTGCTTATTCTTATTTATTTATGCTGGTCTATTTTGCTCAGTGTTTGTTTTTGCCAAATGTATGAATGTTTGTTTTTTTTTTTGCTTATTATAGCAACACTACCATAGCAGGTTGCATAAATAAAATAATTTGCAAACTTTTGTCATACTGCTATTATATTTATTTCTGCAACCTTCTAGGGTAAAAGTCGAATTATAATGCTCGTTAAAGTAAGTTTAGAAAATGCTTTTTTTCGAATGTGCGAGTGTAGTATCTTAAAAAAAAAATAAGTATCTTCATGAAAAACTAACCTATATTCGGATTTATCTACAAATGTATGTATATATAAAGTTGGTATCGAAAAGTAGCTAAAATGTTTTCTAAAATATAAAATTATTGAAAAAATTACGTATTTCAAAATATGCATTTACAGAATTTTACTTTAACTGTACTTTTGTAATAAATTCTTTGTAGTAAATTCTGCTAATGTTTGTTTCTCTCTTTAAGACGCTTACTAAATAGCTCTAGTGACTAGAGTTAGCTTAGAGGTTGGAAATGCCGCTAGACTTTGGAATATGCGTAGTGTTCTTCACAATTCTGCGCATTTTTTGATTTTTCAAATATGAAAATGTTGTTTTTGCAATTGCTGCTGATGATTTGGTATGAAAAAGTTGAATTCCTCGCGCGTTGCCGCTCTTCGGGTATTTGGGTTCTGACAATGACGTTTGACTACATGATCGTGTTGATTTCAAACACATTTGCGTTTTATTTCTTTTTAGTGTTTTGGTTTTTTTCGTTTTTTACTTTGCTGTTATTTAAATTTAATGCTTGCTTAATTTGTTTTCCATTAATTAGTCATGTACATATTGTAGCGCCTGTAAGATTTAATTGTTTTTTCTCTTACATTACATTTAAGTTAAATATATATAAATTTGTTTTTGTTTTTGTTTTGCATTTCAGCTACTTTTTTACCATTTTACTACGGTTGTCATTTTCTTTTTGCTTTAAAAAATTATAGTAAATTTAATACTAAATTATATACACCAAAGTTTAATTAAAATGAGCATTAATTTTCTACAACTCGCGGATTGTGGAATTTATTTTAATTACATTTTATTCTCTTTCTTTTTCTATAGTTGTTCGTGTAAAGTTGCTTGGGTATGAAGAGTACTCTATAAATTTGAAAATAAGCTGTTTTCGGTTGTTTTTGTAAGCTTTATCATTCAAAATGTTCTTCATATTTAGGAGCGTTTGTTAATTTTTTATTTTTAAAATTTTTGGAATTTTTAACACTGCATGCATTGTGATTCTAATTTGCAGTGCAGCAGCGATTTGGCTCTCATTTACAGTTACTATTATTTTTTTATATTTTTTTTCGGTTTTCGTATGCAAAATTTATTTGGTGGGAGTAATCTGAGAGTTTTACTTGTTATCATTACTTGCGTTTTGTATTTTCTTCGCTATTCGAATTATTATGTTTTAAGTTTTGCAGAATTTTGTACAATTTAAATAAAAAATGCAACAATAAAAACTGTTTAGTCTAAAAAAAAAGTCAAAAACAGTTTAGTCAAAAAAAAAAGATAATAAAAAAAAATATGGGAAATAGAGGAAGAACAGAAAGTGAAGCTCTATTATGCGGACATCTTCATTATTTTGTGCACATTGGCCGGTCTCAACATTTTTTTTATGTTTATTAAGGACAACCAATTAAGCAGACAACTCTATTAACCGTACAGTAATGCTGGTCCCGCCAGTGTTCGCTTATGGAAGATTTCACTGGAATTTTTGCTCTTGAAAATAATTTGAATTTGCCTTCTTATTGGCAAAATTTGAAGAATGGTGTATCGAACAGACAAACGCCATTGATCAAAGAGATTAAGAAAGTGAGGTTATACTACTTTATGTCGCTTTAATAAGCTAAACGCAGAAGTATTCTCTGTAAATTTGTTGTTGCGATCGCATGTAATTTATTTTACAAGCGATCACTGCTCAAACGGCTAGCAGAGTTGCGGTGAATAGAAGATGGCATTTACTTAATGAGTATCAGCTGTTACACTTAAAAAAATGCCTTTTCTAAAATCAGTTTTTAAATTCTCAAAAAATTCAAACCAGTAATATATGAAATATATGTATATATAAATATATTACAACAATAACAAAAGTAAAAATTAACGATTTTTGAAGTTTATAGCAAAGCCTTTTGTTATTTTGTATAATTTTCATAGTAAAAATTTTGTATTTTCCCATTACAACTTTCCAGTACACAGTCACTATTCTATAGCGCCTGCTCACAAATCAATCCTTTTGTCATTTTACAGTTATAGTCGTAAAAAATGTTTCGTAACCAGCACATTTGTTTTTGCAAAATATTCCTGTTGCTTGCTTCTTGCTCGGCGAACAGAAAAGCTTTTAAGTACCTTTTTTCTTGCAGTGAAATTCTTAGTAAAGAATTGCAGTACAGCTGTTTTTATAACATGTATACACTGAGCGAAATTTTTTGACTTCTGTTGAAAAATAGTGAAGCACATTTGCTTTTGCTTTTGCAACTGTTTTTGTGATTTTTACAGTTTATGGCCGAATTTGGAACTCTTTTTTTTGGGGAAACTCAGTAGCGTGTGCTCTTAGCTTAATCTTTCAAATATGAGCGTTTTTAATTTTTATTTTCATTTCAGTGCGATAACTGTAATTTTTATATATTTTTTTATTCTTGCAATTATTATTATTTTTTTGTTTGTTTTCAATATCAATTGCTTTGCATGATTTCTACTTGAATTGAGTATAAGTTTTCAGTTAGTTGCCTACAGTTGTTGAATTTAGTTTTCATTTCTATATTTTTAAATTCAAATAAATTGTATTTGTTTAGTATAAAAATCACGTAAAAAACTTGTTTTGCCAATTATAAAAATAATTAGTATAAAAACACTTTTAATATACACATTTTTGCATTACTTTATTACATACATATTTTTTATTTTAATTTATTTTTTACAATATTCTTCATAAGTACAATTTGTATGTGTTTTCTTCTCAGTGTATGTGTATAGTAAGTATTTTTATCAGTGTGTTTATTTAAATTTAAGTTTTTTATATTGTTAATTATTGATTTTTTTCTTCTTTCTTTTGATATATTCAGTTAAGTTGCATATTTGCAAATACAAATATATATATTCATAATTTACATTTATGTATGTTTGTATGCCAAATAGAAATGCGAATAAAAAATCTACAAATTTTACATGCTAATAGTAAACATTTTAAAAGTTCTCTTTGTTAGATTACGTTTTTTATTTGAAAATTGAAAAAGATAAAAAAACGAAAAAATATATATAATATTTTTTCTTTTGCCAATATTCGAATTTGCTGCAGTGCTTACGATTTTATTTTTTATTTTATTAACTTGAAATTTTACAAAAGGATTCACACGTAGATTTTTCAAAGAATATTCACAAACAGATGATCACTATTTTCGTTTGGCATTTAACACACACATATATAGTCGTATAAATGTATAAAAATGTCGCATTTAAGTGGTTATAATATTGTTAGGTTATGTTTACATTGTGTAACTTATTGAACATTTATTTTTTGTACAACAACTGTATTTTAGAGCATTAGTTTAATATTTAAGTTGCTTTTTTTCGAAAAAAATTAATAAAAATTGGCAAATATTTTAACTGCTGGCAACGCTGAAATACTTTGATTTCACTTGAACTTTAGAAATCGTCTTTCTTTGTCAACAATTTTAATCTTAAACGAGTTCAGATCAAGAATGTGCACCTTTCGCTGCTTTATGTCTGGCCAAATATTTTTTTATTTATTTTATATATAAAAGCATTCAAAAAACTTAATAGAAACATTAAAAATTAAAGCTCTCTAAATGAATTCAAGAAAAGCAAAACTTCTAGACTGTTAAAAGTAAGGGAAACAAACATAGCTTGACATAACATAGCATAGCATAAGTTAACATAACATAACCTAACATAACATAATGCAACATAACATAACTTAACTTAACAAAACATAACATAACACAACAAAATAAAACACAACACAACATATCATAACTTAACAAAACATAACATAATACAACATAACATTACATAACATTAATTAACATAATAATTTTATGTACAGTATTTTTATTTGCCTCAAATAAATACATAGAAATA